TTCTTTGTGTTCTAGTAAATATTTTACTTTGATATTTGATCCTATTGGTTGTAAAAATTTACATGTCATGTTAGTGAACATGGATAACTTGCTCTTTGCCATCTGCATTGGAAATTGGCTGAATGACAATGTTTGGGTCCTTTTTGATTTTTCCCTGTATAAAGAGTGCCACAGTGGCTGCCACTGCACACGCCTGCATTCCTACAGATATCTGAAGCTTCCTCCAGGTCAGGCAGTTGAAATGGTGATTGCTTCCTCTAGGATGAGGCATTCCGTGTTTTCTTAGATCTGACAAGATTCCTCCCTACCCCCAACTGCCAAAGTGTCCTCTTCCAGCAAGATGAGATTCCTCTTCAGTTAAACAAAACTTGCTACTTTTTATATTTTTAAAATCTTTATATATGTATATACATATCCCCCCACACGTGCACACACATATACATACAAATACATGTATACACACATATGTATATATTTTGAATATCTTTTATATTTTGAAAATCTGGGACAAATGACAACCCCTTGTATTAACATCTGGCTTTTTGTGAGTCTGTGCAGGTTTTATTATTTTGTGGACATATATATACAAAATGGATTTTTGTATCTTGAGTAATTTTGTTTTCATGTATTTTATTTTATTTTGAGACAGGGTCTTGCTTTGTTGCCTAGGCTGGTGCACAGTGGCAGGATCATAGCTCACTGCAACCTCCACCCTCAGGAACAAGCCATCCTCCCACCTCAGTCTCCCAAATAGCTGGGACCACACGTGCCTGGAACCATGCCTGGCTAATTTTTTTTTTTGACTGAATTTCGGTTTCCCAGGTTGGAGTGCAGTGGCATAATCTCAGATCACTGCAACCTCTGCTTCCAGTGATCAAGTGATTTTCCTGCCTCAGCCTTCCATGTAGCTGGGATTATAGCCATGTGCCACCGTGCCTGGCTGATCTTTCACTGTGGATGTTGTCATCTTTGAAGACCTCACTCATGCTCTGGCTCATCCAGATAAATGTCACTTGGTGTGTCAATAAAACTTCCTAACATTTCTATAACGGGAACCCTGCATTGATTTTTTTATTTATGTATTGCTTGTATTTTTTCACAAACATAAGTAATTCATACTGAGAGGGTATCATGACCTCTTCAAAAAATGTAGTAGAACACAACTAGGAAGACATCATGTGGTGAGAAATCCCTTACTCGGATTTGTCAGAACATTCACTACAATTAAATCCACGCTTTCCCCTCTCTCCTCTTCTCATTTTCTGTAAAGATAAGAACTCCTCCCAGAACTATTTGGTTAAAATGTGTTTTCATTTCATGGTCTATTGACATTTAGGCCATAAAATTCTCTCAGGAGGAGTGGAAATGCCTGGACCCTGCTCAGAGGAGTTTATACAGAGACGTGATGGTGGAGAATTATAGGAACCTGGTCTCCCTGGGTGAGGATACCTTCCCTCCTGGGGATGTGCCCTTGCGTATCTTTGCATTTTCTCTTGTTGCCTTTATATATGTCTGTCATTTCATTGTCCTGTGAGAAATAGCTTAGACTGACTGGCTGTGGTGGCTCACACCTCTAATCCCAGCACTTTAGGACACCCAGGTGGGTAGATCACTTGAGGTCAGTAGTTTGAGACCACTCTGGCCAACATGGTGAAACATTTAATCTACTAAATGTTAAAAATGGGCCTGGTGCAGTACACACCTGCAATCTCACCAGTTTGGGAGGCCAAGACAGGCAGCTCACTTTAGTCATGAGTTTAAGACAAGCCTGGCCAACATGGTGAAACCCCGTCTCTACTAAAAATACAAAAAATAGCTGGGTGTTGTGGCACACACCTCTAATACCAGCTACTTGGGAGGTTGAGGGAGGAGAATCTCTTGAGCCTGGGAGGTGGAGGTTGCAGTGAGCGAAGATCTTGCCACTGCACTCCAGCCCAAGTGACAGAGCGAGACTACAGAGTGAGGCGGGAG